GCCTCCCCTGGGTCATTTCCCCCTCGCCTACCCACTGCATTAGGAAGGGCACAAATTACGGCAATTCAATTAGAGGTATTTGGAAGCACGATGCAGGCTGCAGGGAGAGAACAGTCCGGGCAATTACCTCTGATTACAGCGGCCTGGGGCAGGCTGGTGAGCAGCGAGTGGAGCTCTGGCTTGGGCAGGCTGGCCTGTGCCTGTCACCCACTGCCACTTCACGAGGACTTGGTTGGTGGTGGGGAACAAGGAGGCGTAAAGCGAATACAGATCACTTTTCAGAGACTCAGGTACAGAAGCAGAGCTAAATACAAACGTCTGCATGTGATGCTGGCTAACGAGGTTCCCAGCGTTCAGGCTTTGCATTTGGGAATACCGAGGACTTCACACCCCCTGCTCTGCCTGTGATCTCTGGAGATCCCTGTGGTCCAGGCCACTTGTGGTCCCTTAAAATCCCTTTGGCTCATGCCCTTTGCTCTAGCACCAGAGCAAAAGGAGCTGAGTCAAAACTCTTATTGTACTTCCTCGCTGCTTTGTATCAGAGATACAACTTTTTTCTTTTTTTCTTTAAGGTTATATGTGAAAGGCTAGGGATGTAGCTCTCCCCAGTGATTAGACTAGTCCTGGCCTGTTAATTTATAACCAGTGAAGTTTCATCAGTTTGCTTATCTTAGTTGTGGTTACAGCTGGCACCGGGATGTGCAAAATTGAATTACAAGGCAGAGATTCCCGTGTTAGTTCCCCTTTTTTCCCTGCCAAATCGTATTTTCTCTGCAACAGATGGGTTTATTCACTACAAGTCCCTCCAATTCATCTTTCAGTAAGAAAAGCATCACAGATGTTGCACAGAATAAATTCTACTTCCAGCTCCTTTTTCTGAAGCTGCTTAAGATTCTCTGCAAACTTTTACGCAATGTGTATATGAACTTGAATGCGGAGCCGAGACAGCTATTGAGCAGTGCAATACCCCTATTGTTCACCAGCTTAAAAGCAGACAATTTTTTTAATGTTCATAATCCAGGCTAGAAGCAGAAGCTGTGTCTTGTAGTTCTGTTTCCTACCCTCTTTTGTCAGAAGCAGTAAGGTTATAATAGTCTAGCCATGTCATTTGATCTCTGATGTAAATCCGCTTGAATAAAGTTTATTTTATACAATTCTGAAATGCTAATGTACATAAATGGGAAGCTCAGCTTTGCAGATTTCATTTGATGCTGTTTATCATTTGCTGAGGATGTTCCGTCGGCCATTGCATGATCCTCACGATTCAGACTAGATAGATCTGTAAAACAGCAATACCGTTTTTGGAAAGCGGGGTTTTCCTTTCCCTTATCAAAAATACACTTCTGGCTGAAATGTCCTGGCTTTCAACTGTTAACTGCCCAAAAGTAATTTCTGAATCTTGAAGCTTCTCCGTGCCACAAAATATTTTCTTTGTGTTATTTGAATAAAGCCACAGAAGTTCTATCAAGAGATGTCAAAATTTGCATTCAAGCAATATTACAAAAATGCGTTAATTCTGTTATCTTTGACTACAGTTTGTTCTTCATGTTCCTGTAAAATACATTGTTTCAAATACTTCTTAACCTGTAATTTTTATTCCAATTTTTCTTCACAATACTTGCATCTTGTTGTCAAATTACAGAGTAAAATGATCTCTTCATCTCCACTTGAGTCAGATGCAAAAGAAAGGCTTTTTGGATACTCAAAGGCTTAATCCATCACTTGTCCATCATACTTTTTGTTAGTGTCAGTTAACTAATTTTAACAGTCATTCCTACAATTGATGTTATCATTCTCTCAGTTTTCCTTGTCAAGTGTGCTATTAGTCTTTTTTTTATCCTGTAATAATTTTAAATCTCACTGCTCAGACAGAAGAATTAGAATTAGTCTGAAGCTTGCCTTTCCTAGCTTAGCTTGAAAAATGACTCTGTGACTACATGGTTTATTTTCTTATTGAGGCGACCCTTCAATATACTAATTCCTCCATTGTTTATTTGTTGTCTGGTTAATTGTAAAGCCTTAATGCAATTTGCAGTAGCTGTTAGGTTATGCCTAGTCCTCACCAGAGGTTCACTATCAGACAAACTCAAAACGAAGCTCATTTAAAATTTACTCAAGTCAATAGAACAATAAGCGCTAATGACAAAACTGTCTCTAATGTCTCTAAATTGATACATGAGAGACAGGATTACAGTTGGCTGTCTCAGACAACAACATGTACTCTGTTCTACAATTGTAACTGCATTTCATTACATGAAAACACAGGGGAGAATACTGTTTTCAGCCAGAGTAAAAAGCTTTTTTAAGGAAGTGATAATATGGATGAAACCAATGAGAGTATTGAAACATTGGGCTTGGGAAAAATACTAATTGCATTTTTGTCACCGGAGATTTAATTTTAAGAACAAGTGGTAAATCCTAAGGATTCTACTATGTGTGTAATGGTAAAAATTTCCCTTACATACAACTGATGAGATAGGATGACCTATTTTATTTTTAATTAGCAAAAACCATAAACCATCGAGAATGGTTACTTCATATAATATCCAAGAAAAACACTGAATAAAAGTGTATTTTGCAGTATATTTGGAAGGGTCTGGAGTTGCAGTGGCTACCTTCACTGTCAGTTTACTGAGAGATAATGAATGAAGCAGGAAAAAGCCTGTCTGCTATTTCTGTGTTGAAGTTGTGTAGCCAGGTTTGGTTTCAGCAACTCACCAATGAATGTTAAAATAAAATATTAAAACCCACTGCATTTACAGATTGATGTGCATCTGCATGAAATATGAGGGAGGTTTTTTTCCCTACCTCCCAGGTAACATCAAGCATGAACATATTGTCTAAGATAATCCTCAGGTATGTACACAAAAATCTCTAATATTATATGAGCAATGGCAATGAATTGTAGGCTTGGGAGATAAGTTACCATAAAAATTTGTCTCCCATATGCTGGAGTAAGTTCAGTGAAACACTGACATTACAGAAAATAAATGCTTTATTGGGGGAGTGTCATCACTCAGCTAACTAGAAATTATTCTTTGCAGAAGTTTGAAGACGCCTATCTTTGAATCTAATCCAGTATTTACCAGGAGACCACTAACATGCAATGTTACCAGTAAGTTGTGTTACTGTTTTTTTTGCATTGGAAACAATTTTCGATTTTTGAGATCGGTGTTTTATGCAGAGATTTACCATAACTGAGCACGGAGATCACAAGTAAAAGGCTTACTGTGGCTAAATCTAATTCAGAGTGGGAAAGGCACAAATTTCTTTCCAACAGAGTATGGGTATTGGCAGATCTGAGTATCCAGAAGCAATGAGGCATTCCAGTTGCCAACAAGGCTAATAATATTTAAATATTTAATGCTATTTTGATGGTAAACGAGGACACTATCGCAGAGCTGAAAAGTTATTTAGAGTTTTTGTTTCTCTCAGGATTACACCACCCACCCTTCAATATTGGCATCTCAGCTGCTCATTGTTAACCTAAGCAGGGAGAAGTTGAAGATGACATATTTGTCTGAAGGTGATGTAGAACTTCAATATGCAACTATCGTTTTGCGTTATGTCTTCTTTAACCCAACATGTTCCCTGTTCTACATCCTTTTTTTTTTTTTTTTTAAAGTAGTAATAAGAGAAGGGTCATTTTCTTCATCCTTGCAAAGACTTTGCTGTTGTTTTCTTCCCATTTTCCCATTTTGTAATTTCTATAAATTGTAGGCAATTTTCACTGAATGAATCTTTTGCCCTTTTTACCACCTGCAGCTCAGTGTCTAATAGAACTAAATATTATAGATACTTTCTGAATGAAGGGCTATTTTCTGTTCTGAATTACACTGATATCAACTAATAATTTCCTGTTACTACATCAATCAGTGTGCTACTAGAGCTATTATTTGTACAACATATATCATTGCAACAAAACTGTGACTACCACATTTTAAATCATCTTACATCTTTTAAAAATGATTTTTGGTTCAAGAAGCACATTGATTTTAGACTAATTGTGTAGAAAAGGGAAACAACAGAATGAAAACTTCAGAGAAAAATCCTGGAAGTTAATTACCATACACATCAATAATATTGTGAGAAATGATAAAAAACACTTAGTCTCGATTCCTGCTTCATAAAGCTTACAGGAGAATAATATATCTGTCCCATTTGGTTAAAATTAGCCAATGGGTTCAAATCTATCAAGGACAGGTTGCTATCCAGCACAATCACATAAGCTTCATATCCTACAGAAATCAGACTAAACCAGAGGCTCTCTTGATGAGAGTTTATCTGAGACAAGCACTGAGAATTTGATTCTAAGAAATACCATTTGCAAGGGTTTCCAGCTCCCACAGTAGTGGATCAATACAGATTGCACACCCTACTGACATTTCTGGTCTTATGCATCCCTAGACCACTGCTATTTGGGCAAAGTTGCCATATGCAGAAGCCTCATTGGAATTCCAGGAGACCCGCTGCTCCAGCAATTTTCTTCATAGGCCAAGGAGAAGGATGGCTTCAGAGCCACTGCCTCTCAGAAGCAAATGCAGTATCCCAGCTCTGTAAGAGGCAACAGAGCTTGGCTCTCAGCTCCTGCTAAGAGTGGAGCTCAACTTTTCAGGAGGCAGCAACTCTGGCTGAGTGAGTCCAGCGACAGCTAGGAACCTCTGACTCAGGGGGCAGGCTCATGGCTTCTAGGTGGTAGAGGCTCCTCTCTGCAGTTCTGA